CCGGCCCGTTTCCCCGCCCCCAGGAGCGGGACCTGGTGCGCCGGTTCGGGATCCCGGAGCGGGCCCTGCTGGGCTACGCGGGGGCTCTGGAGCGCCACTACCACCCCGACGTGGCGTACCACAACAGCCTGCACGCCGCCGACGTGCTGCAGTCAACGCACGTGCTGCTCGCCACCCCCGCCCTGGACGTGAGCCCCCAGCACAGCCAGCCTGGAAATGGGCAGGGGGGACTGGAAATGGGGAGGGGGAACCAGGAATGGGGAGGGGGGACCTGGAATTGGGGAGGGGGAACCTGGAATGGAACCAGGAATTGGGGAGGGGGGACTGGAACTGGGGAGGGGGGAACTGGAACTGGGGAGGGGGGAACTGGAATTGGGGAGGGGAATCAGAAATGGAACCATAATTGGGTGGGGGGGAATCATAATTGGGTTTTTTTGGGAGGGGTCTGGAAGGGCAGGGGGTCCCGGGGGGATTCTGGGGAGGGGTCTGAGGGTCTCTGCCCCCCACCCCAGGCCGTGTTCACTGACCTGGAGGTCCTGGCCGCTCTTTTCGCCGCCGCCATCCACGACGTCGATCACCCCGGGGTGTCCAACCAGTTCCTCATCAACACCAGTGAGTGCCTGGGGGTCCCTCCCGTGTCCTGGGGGTCCCAGGGGTCCCTCCCGTGTCCTGGGGGTCCCTCCCGTGTCCTGGGGGTCCCAGGGGTCCCTCCCCGTGTCCTGGGGGTCCCTCCCCGTGTCCTGGGGGTGTCCTGGGGGTCCCTCACCCCATATCCTGGGATTTCTCCCCATATCCTGGAGGTCCCTCCCTGTATCTTGAGGGTCCTTTCCCATATCCTGGGGGTCCCTCCCCATATCCTGGGGGGTCCCGGGGGTCCCTCCCCATAACCCAGGGGTCCCGGGGGTCCGTCCCGGTGTCCCCCAGACTCGGAGCTGGCGCTGCTCTACAATGACGAGTCAGTTCTGGAGAATCATCACCTGGCCGTGGGCTTCAAGCTGCTGCAGGAGGAGCAGTGTGACATCTTCCAGAACCT